TTAGGGGGTTTATTCTATGTATGAATGTTAGTGTGTGTGTAAGGGGACCACAATTTTGTTCACCTCTTTGAAGCTTAATAACGCCTGTGCTTTTCTTCAAAAATTTCTGAAATTTTGCATGGTGGTTTGTTTATTAGAGGGATTGACGCTATTAAATTTTGACGATTAAAGATCAAGGAGGTGGGGAGATATAGGGAGACCAGCAAAATCAGACTTAATGACAATTTTACTTGTTATTAGCATTTACAACTTTTTATAAAAGCCATCCCTATCCTCAAAATTACGCTTTTTGCCATTTTATAACAGTTTAAACAGTTAAAAATATAAAAAATTTTTAAAAAAGAATNATATAAAGTAATAAGTTATGAACACAAGTTTGAGTTTGTAATTTGAAATTTGCATGATTTAATGGTAATAATGTTGTTTCAAATACAGAGCTCACACATTTAATAATTCACACACAGATGTGTTCGCTATTTACAGAAAAGATCTGTTCACAAGTATTCATCGGTTTTATGAGGGTGATACTTTATAGGAGAGCACTAACATCAAAGTTTGACTAATTTTTACATTAAACTATACCAATTGCTCAATATAATTAAAAATATTTTTTAAAATTTGAAAGTTTATATAATATTAATAAAAACATGTTATCATCATTTTGATTCTCTATGAATTTAAACCATAGAGTTCAGTACAGATGATGATTTGTTATTCCTAGTAATTATGTAATTTTTTCCAAAATGAAAAAAATTTATTAATACTAGGATATTTGCACTAATTGTGTTTGAAAATATTTGAGCTTTGTATTTTCTAATTATAAAGTTTTAAACCTATACTAAATTTAAAATTATTGACATTATTCCATTTAAAATTAGATCTCTTGAGTAGGATAATATTCAACTGAAAGCCAATATAAGAACAAACAGATCAGATTAACAAGTTATATTATACTAGTAGCCCAGGATGCCCTAGTGGGTGTTCTTTACAAATTTCCATGAGGCACTGTTCCTTTGACTTTTTTGTTCCTATCAATATGCTCTACAGCTCCGTTAAAGTCCCAATGGTAAAATTTACCCTCCAAATGAAGGGGTGGCAACCCCCAAACTGTAGCCCCTCTGTGCGAACAATAAAGTCAAAGGAACCATACCCCTACTCGCAACCCTTCGCGAGAGATAAGTCCCTGAAAATTCACCTACGTCATTTCCAGTCACGTGACACCATGGTCAAAAGGGAGCCTACTGTGCGAAAAAAAATTAACATGCGCTCGTGCACACTCGGAGGGTCGCTGACCCGCTCATTCATAGAGTAAATTGTGGCAAACAGGCGGTCACATGACCTGTAAAGTAATTTTTGGAGGGCTATATCTCGGAAAGGAGCGCGCGTACAGGTATGGTTCGTTAGACATTTATTGTTCTCACAGAGGGGGTCGTTACCCCTTCATTTGGAGGGTAAATCTTACCGTCCCAATCGCGTCATACAGATCTATATTTCTACCTATTAAACATTCTATAAATACTTTAAAATATTTTAATTTGTTTATTTACCTTTGCTTGTAAACACATGCGCCATTTTTTCAACAAATTTCCTGTGAGTCAATGTGCAATGTTCACTGAGTCACGGGATGTTGTAAACATGCGACGCAAGGTTAATCGAGGCATATAATAAGGCAAGGCAAGGCATATAATAATTATTTATACCATTCCGTGGTATAAATAAATTCATATCAATAATAAATTCCTATTACAAATAAAAATAATTTATTGTTAATTTAAAATCACCGCTAGGGCACCTCTAGTGCTTGTTTTTGGCATACTGTTACACAGATACCCGTTCAATGGGTTATATATATATAGATAATATACTGTATTTCATTTCTAATTTTTTTACTTAAAATCAATATTCTGCTATATTAACAAAATATATACTTCTAAAATTGAAAGTATCTTCTACTAATCTGTAATTGAGCTTTCTAGAATCCATCTAGCATATCAACAGTTAAGTGATATCTGAAAACTTGCAAGTTTACAGAAGCAAAAAAAAAAAAATGTTTTAAAAATTAAATTTTCTCAAAACAGATAAACTTTATATTTATTTTTCTGCCTTTCAAGGTATCTCATCAATGATAAAATATTGGTGACTGTCCAATTATTTTTTTACATAATAATACAGGTATACCTCGCCTTACGTCGGTAATTGGTTCCAGGAAAACGACTTAAGTCGAAAAACGACGTAAGTCGAAACCATAAATTATTATTCCCAGATCTGTATTTTATTTATTAATGCATTTTTAATAATATATGGTTAATAAGAATCTATCTTAAGCTTACAAAGAAATAAATTTTAGTTTTTAATAGAGTACAGAAAAAAGTAATGTAAATTTACGAATGCATGTACTGTTCTGTAAATACAGTACATACTTGTAAATGTATATATTTTAATATGATTTTATGTGCTTTAAACGCTTTTCTAGTGATATTACGACTTCAATATTTGTGGCGGACGGACGTAAAGTCGAATAAAATGACTTAAACTTGATTTTTATTTTTCCATATACTTTTTTGACAAACGACGTAACTCGAAACGACGTAAGTCGAGGTATACCTGTATAGTAGTTATGAGTTCTCACTGCAATCTGAATTTTGTAGAGTAATTACTTTTACTTTACACTTCATACTTTTACAATACACTTCTTACTTCAGAAGTATCACTTCTTTGTAAGAAGTGATACTTCTTACTTTTGTAGAAGTGATACTTCTTATCTTTTGTATCACTTCTTAGCCATTGAAGAGCTAAGGTATCACTTCTTAGCCATTGATGTACTGGATAATTGTAATTAAATATTTCTCTAGCCAATACTCTTTAGAGATTTAGCAGTCTAAATAAAACCAAATCTGGTGTGAGGCATTTCAGGACACGCAAAATACATTTTCATAAACAATTACTGCCAAAACTCATCAAGTGCTAAATTACTATGGCACTTTTGGCACTGCAAGCAATAAGCATTTTATTTGTAGAAGACACTCATACCATACAGAGACCTTAGCAATGTATGGAATACTACTCAATGTGGTTCCATTCTGACCTGAAGGTGATGAATAGTATGTTTAATAGCCAACTGTATCTGATCCTTTGTGATATGTCTCATATACAGTGTGATACTATCTTTCAATAGGTCCTCAATAAACCCATTTTTTAAGTGTCTCCACAACCAAAATTTATTCAAATTAAGATTTGAAGAACAAAGTAGCCAGGCAATACGCAATCCATAACTAATCACTGTTACAAATGAAATGTCACAAAAATTGCTGTATCAGTGTCTGATATATGAATGCACTCCATCTTGCATGAAGACTTAACACAACAGAATTATAACAGAAGTGTTGAATATTTCTGGGTCATCACAGTCTCATTATGATAGCTTCTTTGAAAAAGAATAGTCAAAAAATAAATGTGGTTATGAATCTTCATCAGACTAACTTTATGAGAGTGCAGTGGAATCTGCTGGAAAAAAATGTTTTCAAGGACTAAACAGGATAGTTATATTCACTATCAGTGAGTAGTGAATTGAAAATATGTCATTACTCACAGGATCTTCTAAGGCCATGACACATCTACTTCCATTCTGAAAAGGAAGATCAAGGTCAGTCAAGTTTCCCTGTTGATGGCTAGCAACTACTTATTGTGGTCGATCTTACACGGACAACAATACAATACACCAATTTTCTCCACACTGTGCTTCAGGATGTGACACCCAGTGATGGATTGATCCACAGTAGGTAGGCTGTTTGCTTGGTGGCCATTTCTTATTTTGATATATATTATATTTCATTTGCAAATACAATTAATAAACAAAACACAAGCACTGCTTATTATATTTAATTTAAAAAATCTTATTCTAATTTAAGTCCTTATGAACAAGTGTTCAGCTTACAGCAAAAGAGGTCTATTAATTGAAATTTAAAATAGCTGGCTCTAATTTGGACATTGGCTGCCATGGAAACACCATAGGCCCATGCAAACTTAACATCTGGCCCACCACAATGTACATTTTGTAACTTTTAATTTGAAAATAACTGGTCATAATTTGGGCTGTAGGCCACTATGATGAGACGTATATTGGACTAATGCTTGGTAATTTTCATAGATAGTATTACATATACAGTCAAATTCCAGTTTACAAACTTAATTCATTCCTAAAAGTTGTTCAGAAACTGACTTGTTCTAAAAGCAAAACAAATTTTCCCATAAGAAACAATGTAAAATGGATTAAGCTGTTCCTGACCCCAAAACAAAACCTTTTTAGTTGTATTTCATGCATAAAAATGGCTACAAATGCAATATATTATTTACAGCTATATCTATTCTATATATGTATTATAAGCAAAATATTCCGTCACCACCAAACGAAACCTACACTTTTCAAACAAGTGCTATAAATAGAGACAACTCAGACTGCCTGCATAAAAATAACCAAATCAAACAAGACTAACAAGTACTTTATCCACACTTTCTGAAATATTATTTTTCAATTAATTCAATTTCAATTCTAATTAATAATTAATTGACAAGAATATATAATACCCGGAGGTGCATCAAAATCTAATTTGAATAACAATGTCATCGATGGTTTCTATTGTGATGTCTAATGATGCAGGTGAATCTTGGGGCCACTAGTGAATCATTAGTCCTGTTGTTAATTGGTTGGGTCATCGACTTTCTTTAACATAGGAAGTATAGGAAGTTAATCATCAGTAGTCAGCTCTGCCAGGTAGCTTGTTCAGAAACTGAGTTATTGTATGCAACCAGAGCAAATATGGCATTCAAAATTTTGTTTGTAAACTGAATTGTTCATAAACAGGGACATTCATAACCTGAAGTTTGACTGTACTAATCTTATTTCCAAATTTAAATTTTTAAAAGGTAACTAATAATAATATAAAAAATATAAAAGCATGCTTTATAAGTATATTAACTATCATAAAAAAATGTATATTTACCTTTACAAGGCCTTAATTCTTTAATTAAATGCTTTAATATAAAATTAATGGCTTCATTTAGAAGAATACCAAGGAAGTAGGATATCTGAAAATATTTCAAATGGAAGCTTTGTTTTTATATGAATAATTTTATGCAGTCAAATCCCAATAGTACAAAGTTGAAGGATATTAAAAATTGGTACTTTGTATTAACAAGGTTTGTATTAATCAAACTTCACAAAAAATAAACAATCATACCATATCATCAACCAATCATATCTTATTTAAATATGTTTAAAAATAAATAAATAAAACTTAAGTGTTGCTTCAAACATATACTTTATTGAGATACAACAGCTAGAAAAAAGAAATTACTGTAATTTATTGTAGAAAAAAATTAATGCTCATTTTCAACAACAGTTAGTCTATAGAACAATGATTAAAACTACTGGATACAACAGGCTGACCTAGCAGCCAAATTGAATCCAGGAACAAGAATATGTATAAAACTTTGCAAAGTTAAAAATAACTAATTTGCTTAAAACTCAATAGAAAGTGTATTTAATTATAAAGTTACAAACTAATTACAGTATTTAATATTGTATTTTAGTTGTTTGTTTTGTTATTTTTGTTATTAAAGCAATTAAAAATAATATCTATTTCATAAAACTATAAATTTTTATTTGAAAATCGCCCAATTCTATTTTGGTTTTCAATGCATAATTCAACTGTCTTAAGGTTGATTCATACTTTGTGAGAATGGAAATGAGAAGATAATCTCTCTTCTATTATTCTCTCCATAAGTGTTCATACTTCAAAAGACTGAAAGAGAATCATGCATGCACTTTCAGTACTTGCAGTTTAAAATACAGTTTTGAAAACATAACATAAGTGAAACAAGAATTTTAAGATTCTCAAATAAGTAATTTTTTGTAGTTAATTAATTTGAGAAGAGAAAATGGAAACTATTATAACCTTATAAAAGAAATTAAGAACAATAATCCTGAATTTTTAATAATTTTAGGTAAATTTTAAATATATATACAAATATATACACCTATGTAAAGATAATATCTATTCAGATATATTTAAATTAAAATATAAAAATGATATATTAAAATTCATAAAAAATAAATCAGTTCTAATTCTAATAACTTCAGTTTTATCAGTCTCCAATGTTGAAGGATGAGAAGGATTATGAACTACAAACACAGAAAAGTAGAACTTCTGTCAACTTTTCTCTTTAACTAAAAGAGAATGAAGTATGTCACTAGTAATGTGTGAAGTGTTAACACTAAACCAATTCATTGTCATTTTCTTTTCTGTTATCCATTTTCATGAAGTATGAACTGGCTTTTAATTTAAATAATCATTTAGCATTAGTACAAAGTACAAAGCATCAACTGTAGTAGAAAAAATAATTTTTCAAGTAGGAGTGAACATCACTGATATGGCATATACCTGCATTGCCTACAACTATGATAACATTTACACCAGAAGCATTGTGGTCAATGTTAAAGTCAAAAAACACATTATGATGTAGCTTGTGTCGCTGTTTTGGGAATTCAAAGGAAATTTTCTGACTTCGAGGAAACTGAAAGCAGTGTGCTTTGTATTAAACAACAAAATATAATTGTTATTGAATTCACAGGAGCATGACATTCTTCATATTACTTAAAAACTGAACTCATTGACACTGAAATGTTTATCCTCTGCCAGGGGGACTGCAAATCTACTTTGCATTAACATGGAATTCACAAATTGATAACAACCATGAGATTATAACCATATATAAAAATAAAAGAATTTAGTAATTTTTGTTAACTTTAAATAATGTTATTAAATACAATAGACTAGTAGAGCATTGATTATTCAAAAATTGATTATTGAAAATATTGAAAATTATCCAAAATCAACTTCAGAGAGTATGTCATTTTTGGAATTAGAAATTTGTGTGTGTATGAGTTAAATCGTTAGAAACAAGTTGTGATATCAAAAGAAACCATTTCATTGATAAAATGTTTATTGCTGAAAAATAATGTAGTCAAAATTTAATCTAATGTTAAATTATTAAGTAAAAAAATATAAAATAACAGTTTCTACTTTTTTATTTAATAATTTACTTATAATTTAACATTATATTAAATTTTGACTATATTATTTTTCAGCAATGAACATTTTATCAATGAAATGGTTTCTTTTGATATCACATCTTGTTTCTATCGATCGACATACCCACTGGCACATTATATTATTCCAATTTTTTCCAGTTTTAAATAAANCATTTGGAGGGTAAATCTTACCGTCCCAATCGCGTCATACAGATCTATATTTCTACCTATTAAACATTCTATAAATACTTTAAAATATTTTAATTTGTTTATTTACCTTTGCTTGTAAACACATGCGCCATTTTTTCAACAAATTTCCTGTGAGTCAATGTGCAATGTTCACTGAGTCACGGGATGTTGTAAACATGCGACGCAAGGTTAATCGAGGCATATAATAAGGCAAGGCAAGGCATATAATAATTATTTATACCATTCCGTGGTATAAATAAATTCATATCAATAATAAATTCCTATTACAAATAAAAATAATTTATTGTTAATTTAAAATCTTCGCTAGGGCACCTCTAGTGCCCGTTTTTGGCATACTGTTACACAGACAGGTGGACACGTGTTCAATGGTTAACTCATATATACAAAAAAAATTATATTAAATTTTGACTATATTATTTTTCAGCAATGAACATTTTATCAATGAAATGGTTTCTTTTGATATCACATCTTGTTTCTATCGATCGACATACCCACTGGCACATTATATTATTCCAATTTTTTCCAGTTTTAAATAAATAATTTAATAAATGTTTCACCTTATTGGATCCCCATCAATAAAATCATGATGAAGCTCAGAAAGATGATATTAATTTTCCTGGATTTATAATACATCTTTCTCTGACTAAGAAAGTGTAAGTTGTGTCCAGGTGTCTTATTATCACTAATATAAAATTTCTTAAAACTGAGTGTTTCTTTTTCATTTTTGACTCCTCAATTATAAAATTATATTAATCTGCAAAACAAGTTATTCCCAATCTCCATTGTTAGTAGTTATGTATTTTTATTAAGTTTACTATCAATAAGTTAGTTCACACACACACAATAAATACGCAATAATTTTTGAAAGACATCATTTATCTGTCTGTTGTCAAATATATTTTTAGATTTATAAACACTATTCCAGAACTTTTAATTGTTATTTAAAACTAAAATAGATAATAAACAAACCAATAGCTACTAAATTGTTTAGATACTGATTCATTATAAAAATACAGTNCTTATTTTATTTTATTATTGAAAAATATATACTTTAACTAGAAATTCTTTCTTATTTAAAAAAATACAGTATGTATATATATATATATATATATACATACTGTATTTTTTTAAATAAGAAAGAATTTCTAGTTAAAGTATATATTTTTCAATAATAAAATAAAATAAGATACTTACTGTATGTAAATCCCTTCGAAAAATTATTAATGTTGTAAAAGCTATTATTATGACCAATGGAAGCAAGCTGGTTATGGCAAGAATTTTACCAAACCATTCACCTGGAAAATTAAATATATTTTATAGCTAAACCTTTTTATAATTCAATCTATAATCAAATAATCTCTTTTCAATTCTTTTTAATACAGTAAGACCCCACTTAATGCGGGGGATGCATTCCTAGACAACAAAGCGCTAAGCGAAACAGCATTAAACGAGGTCATTTTAACAGAGTAAATAGGGATAGAACATAAAACTGAATATTAAAAAATTTTACTTTAATTTTACATTATTTTTATATTAATTTGTGTAATAATATATGTTAAATTACATTTCTGTGTGCATATGTTTATGTGTTAAGTTCATTTTTTGTGACAAAGGTCCTGACTTTTCTGAAATTCTTGTTTTTTTTTTTTTTTTTCAATAAAGTTGTGAAGTTTCATTTGTCACTTTTTTCTTTCCTTAAGCAAATGTTGGTAGCAGAAGATCACCCCAAAATCTAGATCATTCACTACAATTTGATCAACAATTTTGGTTATCGTTACCAAACTTTTACTAAGGTAATCTGTAGAGAAATCTTTTGGGTTCTTCATTTTCAAAATCTGTTTTCCAGTTCTACATGAATTCCTTGTTCTGCCAGTTCTTGAAATCGTTGGTAAGACTCTTACCAGAAACCTGCAGTAACTCCTCAATATCCTGTTCATCTACATCTCCTGTATTGATTAAGTTGACAATTTTGTCAACCTAACAATACAGTGATAGGCTCTTCTCGATGAGAATTCTTAGATACCTTCAGCCATAACTTCTTCCACACTCTGTTAGTGCATTTATCAGTTAATTCTTGCCAAGCCAAGTCGCTATTTCCTATGGCATCCATGATGTTATAATTTTTCCAAAATTGCACAAAACAAATATAGATTTAAGGGAATTACAGCGCTACAATGAATTGCCACCTTTTGCTGATTGATTCGTGTTTGGGAATAATTGTATTATACATGTATCAATGAAATACAACGTTAATTTGAATCAGCATAAATTTTGAGCATTTTTTAGGCGTAAAGCAGACCATTTTATATTCAATCAGCGTTAAGCAAGGCAGCATTAAGTGGGGTCTTACTGTATAAGTGTTTAAAAGAAATTTCTATTATATTAATCTTTTACTTGAAATTTTGATGTTATTTACAAAATAAGCATAACTGCAAAATGAATCATTAGGTTATTTAAAATGTCTAGAGAGACATTTTGTGTAGATAATGAAACACCAGTTATTCAACTGTTTTACTTCCAGTCTATATTGTTTTTTGAATAATGCTTTGTTTGTTAGTATACAGTATCATCAACAACCTGTTAGTTTCTTTGACCAAGATTCAAAATGATTTGATGAGTTGTTTCTGATAAAACTGGAAAAATAAGAGAATACAATACTATAAAAGAAATCATTTTGGTTAAACTAAATCAACTTCCACACATTTGGTATTTGTGAAATGCTAAGCAAATAATTTGGAAATTCTGAATAGTATGGATGATTTATTCATAACAAATATCTTAAATTTAAAATCTTCTTACGTGAATATTGGAAAGCATATAAATTAACACTCCTAAACCTTAAAAGTCCAGTAATAAACATTTTCGACCGTGCTTTCGGTCTTCTTCACTTGTTCGAATCTCACTGGTTTTTAAACCTGAAGAAGACCGAAAGTACGGTCGAAAACGTTTGTTTGCTATTAAATGTTTACTACTGGACTTTTAAGGTTTAGGAGCATTAATTCATAACAAATATATTTGGTATTCACTGTTTTCCATTGCTTGTCAGTAAATTGTACCAAATCAAAGGGGACGAACATTTGCCTCCATGCATTCATACTGTCCATATACATTCATACTGTCCATATATATATTCATGCTCATATTCATGTATTTCCTTGCTTTTGGTCATTATTTTCAAAATGGAATGGTCTAATTAAATAGTAATAGGTTTTGGATTTTTATGAGCAAGAACAAGTGATATGGAATGCACTTTAACCTTTCAGCAATGGGATAGTCGGGTATGGTGCTACCCTAAAGTAGTGGAGAATAAACGTGGGAAATTTTTAAAGTATTTTTCCACACGTTTTTTCTCATTACCATTTCAGAAAAAGATTTTGTAAACAGTTATGTCTAGTAAAGAAAACTCTCTTTTTATTGTTTCATAATTCATTTTTTATGTGAATTTTTTTTTTTGCAGTAGTTTTTGGCGATACCCCTAAAAGAATTTAACGGATATATCCATCCCTCACCACTGCCACACGACTGCCCTGGATGGATATATCTGTCCCTCACTGTTGAGTGGTTAAGTTCAACATAAAATCAAATTTGAGTTTTGTGATGTGTGGAAAAGAATCAGAGCAAATTTGAATAGAAAATATCCTATCATAAAATTAAAGAAAAAAACTCAATAATGATGTTATCTAGAATGTATGTAACAAAGTACAGGTAGGCCTCCTACAACATGGTAGATACGTTCCTTGAAAATACCGCGCTGTCGGAAATCGTGTTATAGGAGACACCAACTTGACACAAAAACTGGGATTCAGTTCTAAAAAGAAAAAAACTTGGCATTCGAATGGCGTTTTTTGAATTTTTCAAACCAGCCCTTGCTAGCCACAAATGTAACACTGGTTTCATCAGCCAACGACTGTCCTATTCGTTTTAAATAATCAAATATTTTTAAGGCTTTGTGTTTAACTGCACTTTTATTTAAAGGCAACCGTTTCTTGTTCATATCTTCTACACATAATATTAGCGCTTGTTCCATTTTTTTTTTTTTCATTATAAGTGCTCTCAGACGAGCAACATTTTTCACAAGAATAGATGATCTGGATGCGACTGAATTCCTAATCTTTTCTTACTATTGCTTAATCGATCAAATAGTTGACTCATTTAAATTAAAATGCCTACCAATATCAGCTATCCGCTCTTGATTTTTAATTCAATCCAAAATTTCTATCTTTGTTTGAGGAAATATAAATTTCCTTTTTAACGACGGTCCTTTCTTTTCATTCGACATTGTTATGGCTAAAATTTTTTCAAGAAGTTTTGTGGACAGTAAAAATTGAAAAAAATAACTTTCCTTCACTACGTTGTTAAAAATATACACCCAATAGAAGTTTATACTGTATTTTGGACCACTTTTGTGGTCCCCACCTATTGAAAGAGTATAAATTATCGAAAATTCAGTGATATATTTGAGTGTTTATGGTAACTGATGCAAATCTGTCTAGAAACCGGTCTTCCCCTGAAACTTTCATGGGAATAACACGTCAATGTGGACAAATAGCTGTTTTCAAGGACATTTAGCTCTGTACACCAAACTGCGGCGTGTATTAAGTGATCTGTTGCAATTTTTCTGTTATGTGAAAGATAATTTGTTTCTAAATACCATAAACCGCATTGTAAAAGTACCGCGTTGTAGGAAAATTTCCACATTTTTCCAACCATGTTGGAGCAAAAATGCGTTGTAAAGGTACCGCGTTGTAGGAGGCTTACCTATATGGTGCTAAAAGTGAAATAGAGACAAAAGAAATATATAAAAAAAGGCTTAATCGGACTTAAGATGATATTGGATAGATTTTTTTTATTATTGTTTATAAAATGCACAGAAATTTGTATATCATTTTCGTTTATAACATGTTACATTTTAATTTTTACATAACTGTTTTTTTAAATTCGATTGCATGATTTTTTGAATTTCCCGTTTCGAATTAGTGGAATAACTGAAGATGAACGCTCAATGCATTTGAAAACGTTTTTATGTTATTAAAGAATTTTGCTGGATAGTTAAATGGTTTTTTATTTTTAAGTTGAATTCTCCAGTAAGCAAGTATACAATTATTTAAAAGAAATATACAAACCAAACCAGTTTGCTTACTTTTCCTTAACAGATATGATATAAAAGAAGTGGTACAAATTATTGTTTGAGAATTGTTTATTTTCTATATCTTGGACAACTTTTGTCATTCCTACAATGAACTGATGCTCAGCAAATAATCATATTTGTACTGTACATACATGCTTGCCACATGACAAACACTTTACTGAATACTTTGGCAAAAGATGATTATTCAACATTCAGCAAATACTAAATGTGTGGAGGCACTGTAATAAATTGGCAATACTGACAAATTTAGTTCAGATGGCCTAGTAAAAATCACACGACCTTTAAGTATCTCATGATAAGCTGTATCCTGTCTTCAAACCATCAGAAGCTATGAAGTTTGAACATATTTTCTTAAAAATAATATGTTCTAAATTTTGAAAATCTGACCATGTTTCTATTGAATATTCTGATCATTTACCCAAAAACAATCATGCCTATTGATCGGACTGGCTATGAATCAATTTGATAAAAGATCAAAATATGATTAGTAATCAATTTCATAATATAATGATCGATTCTGCCATCTTTCTACAGTAATAGAATGAACTTTTGTTTATAATATCCTTAAACTTTTATAATTTTTCAATCTGATTTCTCATATGTTTTCAAATGGTCAAAAGACTGTACATAACGAATGAATACTTTTAATCAGATCGCTTTATACATCTATACTGAATCAACTAACCAACCAACATTTGACTAATAAAGCTGTTCATTTTCAAGACGTATCATGAACATTTGATAAAATTTTAATATTTTATACCTACCCTGAGGATATTCAACATGAGTAATACTCAACGAAGTCCATTGAATAGTTGAATAATCACCACTTTTAATCGTACTTTCCGCCATACTATTTAACTGCTTTATGTATTGGCATGACCACGTTTTTCTAATATAAAGTTGCCAGATAATCGTTGATAGTACATAAAATAAAAAAAATAAAATAATTAAACTAAGAAAATGAAAATAAACAAATATATATTAATTTTATACTTTTTAATTACTGTTTTATTCAAATTTTTAAAATTAAAAATAAGTAAAAATGCTTATTAAACTTATTGTATTAATAAATACTGAACATAAATTTTATATTTCATTTTCATTTGGACATATCAGGACAGATCACTACCCGAATAATTCCTGGGGGTTTTTCGGCCCGTCCGAATTCGATCCCGGGTCCCCAGAGCGGTAGGCTGCCACCTTGACCTCTCGGCCATCCGGCCATCGAGAGTGGCTCCTTTGGTGCATGTGTAAAGGAAAAATAAACTTTAAAAAATGAAACAAAAATTTTAAGAATTTGACCAAAATCGAAGCCAGATTTCAGATTGGTAATACAGTATTACCGCTCTGGAATCTGGCCTCAGGTTTTACCGCCTCAACTATGCAGCTATCATCATATAATTATTATCGTACTATCGTCAAACTATCTTTTATAAGATTAACTATTGCATGTATGTAATGTGAAGTCAGAGTTTGCTTTTGAACACGGTAGTGGAGCGCCGAAGACGTAGGAGTGCCAAAAGTAAAACGCAAAACGGAAAAATAAAACAACGTATAATAATAAAAAACCAAAAAATTAAACCGTGAAATACGGAAATTACAAAAAAATTCTTGAGATGTGTACTAAAATTAACTTTCGCTTAGATGAAAGCAAGTGCAATTATCTTAAATCTGAAATTGAAGGAAATTTTTGTCAAAGTGTTGAATATCAATAAAATGTTTGATCTGTATCTCTAGTTGAATTGTTCCTATCCAAACCCTTTCCCGGAATTTTTATTTGTGAGAGAACCTGATATCGGGCACTAAAATCCACTCTTGCCTGGGGACATCATATTACATAGGATCGTCCCTGGTATTGAATATGTCCGATTTCACTACTTATCAAAGGGTCGTCACAGTAGCTCAACAGTTAGTTAACACGGCTTGACTGCAGCTGTTGAACTTCTGAAGATCTGCTAAAGTGCGGTCGGAAAACTGCTGAAAAGCACCTCTCAGATATTAATTAAGCGTCAGCTGTTAGTTGTTTACAGATGTTAGCGGTAAGCTTCTGCCCACATACAGAACGGAGCTACTCATGATCATCTGATGATTCTGCACATCCAAGCTACTGAATAGCTACAGAGAAATCGGTAAGGAGTAAGAAGCTATTGATGAGCTGCTGTGGATTAATTGAAGGCTGTTGGAGATCTGCTTTACAGTTCTTGTTGAGTAGCTGAGAAGCTGCCTATAAAGGAATAATGTTTTTTTTTTTTTTTTTTTTTTTTTATTTGTCGATTCCATTCCGGAACTGCTTAGAATGTTTAGACAATTCCGAGGAACCGTCTAGTCCAGGAGTCACCAAACCTTTTTCATAGCGGGCCAGATAACTGAGGGAATGACGAGCGCGGGCCACATAACCATTTTGTTCGATACAGTATACTAAATACATAAAAAATAAAGACAACCAACATATTTATTTACCAATACACAAACTCGATCGCTGCAGCAAGCTCGTAATCGAGTTTGTTAGAAACTTCACTGTAGGGACTGTACTTAAACAAAAAGCGCTTTGATATCCAATCGCAAAAGGTGGCCGAATTTTTTATTTTTCTGATTTTCCTAAAAGTTATATTACTGTCGGATGCAAAAATCAGATTGGATCACTTTTGGCATTTATACTTATTATGTATAAAAAAATAAAAATAAGTGTAAGTTTATCTACAATGATATTTTTGTATAAATAAATTTATTTAATGGTGGCTGGCAGTAGTTTGTTGACCCTTGGTGTAGTCCAACAATCTCGGCAATTCCGACGAAATATAACGGTTCCGAGGTGTCAAATTTTACTTTAACAAGTTTGTATTTTATTTGTTTATTTTTTCTTTTGAAATGTACGTTACCTTTAAACATTGAGTGCATAAGCTACAAAACGACTCCCCTTATGTTTAAGGGTTATTGACAATGAAAAACTATCAGAGAAGAGTTTTTAACATTTGTTAACATGATTAACTTAACAGAAACTTGTTTGTAAAAAGCGTAGTCTAAATTTCTAGTGTAGTCTATGGGTTTACGCATCTAAAACAGACTGACCACGTGGAGTTTTACGAGTTTTCTGCGTGTTTAACATATAAATAGATGTTAGTTTCCCACAAAAGACATCTCTCGAGACATGCCAACGTGCTGCAATTGCCTTCTATTGTCAATACATTAAATTTCTGAGACTATTTTTTTTTAACTGAATCAATAGATTGATTGATTGATTGAAGTTATAAAAAATTGCTTAATAACTTTATTTCTAGATTGAAACTTAATTAAAATTTTTTAGATTTATTCATTTAACAATAAACTGATCAATATTTCAAATAAACTCAAACTACGAATTCATATAAAACGGAATTATCAACAGTGTTATAGGGGAGTCGACTGTACTTTTATTTGTATATAGAGAAACTTAAGACAAACAATTAGTAATTTAAAAAAGTTAAATACTATCGTTGAAAATTTGGAAAATAATGTTAACATAAATCTTTAAATTATAATTTTAATCTCTAAAAAAAGTTCTTTGAAATTTTGAATGTTTCAAAATTCAAATAGGTTCAGAAAATTCAAAAATTTCGTTCCTCAAAAGTTTCTTCAGCCGGATTTTCGATTGCATCGAGTATATTCTCGGAAACTTTGCTTGGAATTTCAGAAGCAGCATTGCGGATGCTTGATTCTTTAATAAAAGATTCAGTCGCTTCTGGTTCTTTAGCAATACTTTCTTGTTTGATCATGCTTGCAACTGAATCGCTTCTAAGGCGTGATCTCGTTTTATTAAGTTCAATGCTCTTGTCAGTATTCGTTCGAATTAATCTCATCTTACTAAAGAAACTTGGTTTTTCGCTAAGATTCTTATCCAAAGTTTTCTTTTCTTCTTCATGTTTATTGTCCATATCTTTCATTTTTCTGGCGTTAAGAGTGTCGTGACGAAATCGTTCATAAAAGTATGATCTTGTAACTTCGATCATATCAATCATATGAGATTTTACGAGCATGTCTCTGAAGTCCGAAAATTCGCAGTGTTCATTATCTTCGAGGTCTACGAATCCCCAACGAGTCATCCGGCCGTACAATTTCTTACCATTGACCTCGTGTTGCTTCTCGCTTCCCACTACAGCAAAGGGTGTTTTAGATCTTATCGTTGAGCATCTGATCGTCTGGACTTTCTTCGATATCTGTCATGGGGTAAACAGCGATTTTGTTATCTTCTAAACAATTTCTGATAACTCGCTTGAAGGCTAGTCTTTCATCTATTGTCATGGTGTCACTCTTCGCTATGACGGGGAGGAGGTTGACGATTTTTCCCAATCTCTTCATAAATTCTATGTCCAGAGGGGTCAACCAACGACCAGATGGAGAGATGAAGTACACGCAGCAATGAACTCTTGTGTCTGTGATGTTCTTCGTACGATCTATGCATTCTTCTTCTTCCAAATACTTTTCGAATTGTTCGTATATATATTCTTCTATAGGAAGCCAACAGTTTTCGTTATTTATTTGATCACCGAAACCCGGTGTGTCGGTAACAGTGAGGCGTAACCGAACACCTGTCTCTTCCAGAAGATGGGTTACTGATTTAATTTCTGTAGTTTTGTGATACCCGTCGATTCCTATCTCTCTTTCATCTTTAGAAGAACTTTTACGGCTAATAAAAGCTTTAAAAAGTGTGTTAAGCAACGTAGACTTGCCTAAACCCGATCTTCCAACTACGAGAATGTTAAATTCGTATCCTCTCTTTAGAGATTTCTTCGGAGTTTGCTCCTGGAGAGTGTCTATACCGACATAACACCAGTTTTCTGTTTTTAAATAACCCCACTGGGTAATCTCGGTCAATGTTTCTGACATCATTGCTGGAAAATTTCTTGCCACATTCAAAAATAACGATATTCTAAACTTCGAATTAAAGAAGAATTATTTTGAATTCGTTCGAATTTTGTTTGATCGAACTATTTCGATTTTCAATAAATTATTTTTCGATAATTAAATTAAATTTTATTAAGAAATAATGAGGTAATATGTTATTAAAAAGCAATTCGAAACTTTTTTATTTTTCTCGAAACTCTCAGCACCAGTACTGCTTTTCTAGTGACAGACCAAATTAATTAATTAATTAATTAATTTAATTAATTAAATATATTGCTGATTTGCATTATTAAATAATATTTAAATATTGTTTAAATGCAAATTATAGATGTGAAATCATTTGAAACTACCCTCAGGGTATTGAAATCAGGTTGTAAAGGTGAAATTTAGATCGCCATGACAACGCGCCATCTCATAGATTTAGACAAGCTGGTCAATCTGGGCTCTAAGATTATACTTCCAGAGCCGGCGCTAGAGTTTATGCCGCCCGGGGCAAGACATATATTTTAAGCCCCTTATCCCACTGCATAAAATGAAAAAACTTTTCTTTTGAAATGATGCCATACCAATTAGAAATGCAATACCAATTAGAAATGTCATACCTTGCTCCGTCAATCAATATTTAACTCGCGCCGTGTAATATAAATAAAAATTAAAAAGTATTTAAAAAATACTGTAATACGCTTGAAAATTCTGTAAAAATTTATGAAAATTTGCCGTCCTAGGTAAATGCCAAGTTTTCCCATATGTTATCGCCAGCTCTATTTACTTCATCCACCTTACAGCATAATATTGCTAATGTACAGTTCAATAATAATAGCAGACATTCAAGACTTTTCTCAAAGAAAAACCACAGTCATTCGCTCAAGGGATTAAAAGTTTGTAGCAAAGATGACGAGACCGGATTCGAACTTGGATCCCCCAGAGCCTTCATACGCTTCGCTTTAGTACGTCTGTTTAAGCTTTGCTTGTGGTTATATTTCAAATTACGCTCACTGCATTCCATTTTACACGACGGACAATCCACTGTATATTAGCAAAATATTTTGTTACCGCCAACCAAAAACGAAAAACTGACATAAATCCAGTTCCCGCCATTGGAGTTGTTCGCCGTAGCAGCATAATTTAGAACTAATGCTCGCTCAGGGGCTAGACGCTTGTCTTAGCATCTAGCCGTCTCATAAATAGCATAAAAGAAATATCACAAACATAATAGTTATCATGTTTAAAGAAAAGAAACAGTTATAAGATTGATCGGATAGTTGTCTATATAAGGAAATTAAAATTAAATCTCAAGTAAATCTGAATTTTTTATATATGAGCAAGATCATTGACCGAACACTAAAGAATACGGCCGATTGACGGCCGGATGGCCGAGCGGTCAAGGTGGCAACCTACCTCTCTGGGGGACCCGGGATCGAATCCGGACGGGTCAAGGAATCCCCAGGAATTTTTCGGAGGGTGATCAGTTCGGATATGTAGGGCCCCGTCCGTCACCACCCGGTCGCCCCATTGTGGATCTGGCCGAACCCATAATGGGCCTGCTATAAGAGGCCCTCTTAGTACCCACAGGGCGGAAAAAGTATTAAAAAAAAAAATATGGCCGATGAATGCCTATATCCTAAATAAAAATTTTATCAGAATAATATTTATTTTAAAAAATATTTAAGTTTATTTTAAATTTAAAAATTTCTTATTAATTAAAAAAAAATTCAAATGATTATTACAAATACAACGAATAATTTTATCAAAGCAGCGCCTCTATCAGCAAATTACAGAAATATTATGTCGGGATGAATTACGTCTGTTCGAAAATGCACAAATGTGTGGAATTTTGAATCCTTAAAGTAATTCTTCATTTCGTGTCATTACAAGGAAATAAAAGTTTATTGATGAATTATTCAGTGTATAAGTATTGCGAACTCGTAAAGCGATGTTACTTAATTTGTACATAAAACGGAAGACTTTGACCGGTAAGATAGGCCTAAGATATTTTTTTACGGTTTTTTTTTTCTTTTCTTTTGCTAATGTTTAATGCTTCTTTAATTATTTCAGCTTTGAGAATGGCTTTCTACTTAGTGTTTTCATAATAATAATTTCGAGAGAGTAATCGACTATATAACGTTTAAAAGCAAAGAAGTTTGCAATAAATATGTCAAATTCAAGAAACCAGGAAGCAAATAGTCGTCCTGTCTCAGATATCATTCGTCGCTGGAGAAAGAGACAACAGCCACTAGTTTTTAATGGTGTGGGAAGTTCTTTTGAGGATAAAAACAGCGATTATTTGTGGTAAGTATATTATTTTACCAGAAAAAAATTCAACAGAAAGTTTTATTCTCTTATATAAAAAGACCTCTTTGCTAAAATAAATAATTTTGGTAATATTTATAAATATGAGTGAATAATCAAGATATATATATATATATAATTGACTGCTTGAAACTGGGTGTATTTAATAAACAAAACGAACAAAACCGATTTATGGCAGAAATTTATAAGAAAGGAAATGTTTTTGACACTGTTAAACTGTCATCTTTGGGTTAACTACGTTTCCTTTTTTTTTAAATTTGGGCTGGAAATTAGTTTTGTTTGCTTTGGAGTTAGCCTGAAGAAGCTTGTTTAAATGGTCGAAAACATTTCCTTTCTTATAAATTTCTACTGGAAATTAGTAAATTAGTTTAGTTTGCTTTGTTTATCAAGATAATATAATATATATAAACTATATATAATAACCTATATGATTAAACTTATATTCAAGTCAATAAAATGTAAAAAAATATCTTATATAAAAACTTTGAATTAGAATAATTGTTTTTTTTTTTAATATGTTAAAATATGTAAGTTTTTATAAAATAAAAATTTGTTACTTGTTTTATTGTTTAGTACATTTAATTTTAGTTTCTCCAATATTATATTGTAGAAAAAATATTTTAAATGCATATAAACTGATAAAGGCAATTTTTTTCTAAAACTAAGTAAAAACTAATTGAGATTATTGTAAATATATTTCATTATAATATTAGAATTAAAAAAAAAGCAAAAAAATAAGAATTTTCATTTGCAGTCAAACCTTGATTTTCAAACAAATTGGTTCACAGAATTTTGAACTCAATTGTACTGGTTGTCAAACAAGCTACTTGACAAGAGCCTGCCAAGGATTAGAAAGACACAGAATGTCAACTCCTTATACTTATGTTAAAGAAAGTTGACTGATTGATCAATCAACAACAGGACTACTGATTCGGAAGTTAATGGCACTGAGATCGCCATGTGTCATTAACTATCGCAGCACAAATCATCGATGATGTTGCCATTTAAATTTAATTTCAATGTGCATGCAGGAAAAATATTTATTCTATTTTTTGGTATGTGATGCAGTTGAATTAAATCAAATTAATTAATAAAAATGGTGTCCAAGAATTTCTGTTTAAAGGTGCTTAAGTCAAATTAAATAACAAAAATTTATTAATGTAATATATATATATATAATATAATAATAAATTTATAATATTTCATTACATTTGTAGGCATTTTTTTTACATGAAATACAGCTAAAACAGAAAAAAAAGGCTTTATTTTTGTGGTCAGGAACAGATTAATCCATTTTATTTTGTTTTGGTTTTAGAACAAATCTGTTTTTGAACAACTTTTTGGAACAAATTGTTTGAAAACCAAGGTTTGACCATACTAAAATGTTTTACAAATCTGTATTTTCAAATATAAGTATTACTAGGTTAAAAATTGTTAATTATAAATAAATTTCTGCAATAGCACAATAGCTTGACATTGACTCAAAAAAAAAAAAAAAGAAAAGAAATACCATTGTTGAATAACAAAATTCAAACATTTAAAAATGTTTGAATTTCAATAAATTTCTGACTTCTTGAAATTAGTTTTTGTGAAAATCTTGAAAATATTTTTCATCTTTATTAAAAACAAAAATCATAGAATGAATTTTTAAACAAAATTCAAATAAAATACATCCTAATATATTCAATGATTTTTTTTTGAAATAACCAAATAATTCTTTGAACAATTTAACATTAAAATTAATGCAAATATATTGAAATAACTACAATATAAACAAAGCATAGTGAGCTATAAAATATAGTAAATACTATTTTAATATCCTGGATACTGTGTAGTTGTGGATGTAGTTGTACAAAGTAGTGATGAAATGGTTAATAATTGAAACTTTTTATTTATGCTGTTGAACATTACTGGAATAAACTTTCAATAATATTTTAATAAAGATTAGAAAACTTCAAGAAAATAATTTCAAAGATAAAGCAGTTCAAATATTTCTGTAAATAATTTAATTTTTTTAATTCAGCTAAAAATAAAAAATAGTATTTTAATCTAACAGTGATGTGTAAGTGCTTAAGATTTAATGTCACAGGCATACACACTGAATGTTTAAATGAAAAATTTATTTACAAGGAATACACGTGAACTGGAATGCTTGTCCATCTGTATATTGCAAGAAGCATTTGAATCTTGAACATTTATTTACTATGGATTTAAAGAATAGCATTTGAAATTCTGCTAGTGTTCCAATTGTATTTCTTTCAAATCTTGTATTTGACCACACTATAATCTACATGAAACTAAATAACTTTTTTATATGTATTTGAATTCATTATGGTATAGAAAAAAATTAGTAAAAATATTATATTTAGTAATATATGAAAAATAAATGGCTGTAATTTTATATAATAAATTTATAATTTTAAGCAAAATTAGTTTATAAAATGATAAGTAATACATATAACATCTACTAATGACTGTATTTACAATCCATGATCATGAGTCTTAGATTTTAAAGTTAACCAAAATGCATATGAAAGAGAAATGAATATCAATTGATTAATTTTTAACTGATTCTTGGTTCTGATTGTGAATACAGATATAAATACTGTAGTACATTCATTATAAATGCAATTGATCACTTATGGGAATATAAAATATGTTTATATATCTAAAAACAGTAATTTTTTTTATAAAAATGTAGTTGTGTATGTAACTTATTAAAATTAGCTATCATGATAATATCTTTAGGAAAATTTTGAAAAATTGAAAATGTTTTAGGCTTGTTTTAATTTATTTTTTGGTAAATAAACAATATTTTAAATGTTAATGTAATAAAAATGTTTGGATATATTTTTGTTATAATTCGATAATCTTTAATTTTATTATCAAACAAATATTAAAAAAATTACACACCATAATTATTTTGCAGATTTTGAACAAAATTAAAAATATTCTTGTACATATTAATTAAAATTATTCAATCAATGATTGTCTAATGTCTTAAACACGTGAACTATAGTTTTTAAAACATGATAACTAAATACAGTAATACCTCGACTTACACTACCCCAACTTATGCAAACCCGGAGTTATGCAATTTTCAAATCTTGTCGATCCTCTTTTGTTTGAGCATCCCGCAACTCTTGATTACTCACTCCCCCCACACTATTGTTCAGCTTACATGTTCAGACATGTCGCATGGAATTGATGCATAGCTACAATTTATTTTTACAATACTATTTGTGTTGTTTATTTCTGTATTTGTTATATCTATGGAAACTTGAGAGACTCTACTATGTCATCCAAACGAAGTAGAACTGATTCTTCTTCATCAAACAAGAAAAAAAAAAAACAACTTTATCTTTGGAATGTAAAGTTAACATTATTAACTTCAATACAAAAATGAAAATTTGTGAATTGGCAAAGAAGTTTGATCTACCAGAATCGACGGTCAGAACAATTATAAAAGGTAAAGAAAAAATTCTCGAAGCTGTGAAAAATGCTTGATCTTTAAATTCAAGCATCATTTGTAAACTTCACGGTATTATTGCTGAGATGGAAACAATGTTAAAATTATGGTGTGATAATCAAGTAAATTGAAAAATTCTCCTGTTGATCAGAACACTGTGTGCTCTCAAGCTAAGCTGGTTTTTGAGAGATTGAAAGAGGATGCTGGAAAGGTGGCTAAAGATGCAGAGTTTAAAGTTAGTAATGGTTGGTTCAGCTGATTCAAAAGTCACTGTAATTGGCATAGCATTGCAGAAAGTGGAGAGGCAGCAAGTGCTGATAAAGAGGCTGCATCTTACTATCCAGAGAAATTCAAAGCTATGATAGATGAAGGTGGCTATACCAGCCAAACCATATTCAACGTAGATGAGATTGGCCTGTTCTGGAAGAAGATGCCTAAAAGAATGTTTATCACATGTGAAGAGAGAACCTTTCCAGGTTTTAAGGCTGCCAAAGATCGATAAACAGTGATGGTTGGTGCGACTGCATCTGGTGATTGTAAGTTAAAATTTCTCTTAGTTTATCACTTGGAAAATCCAACAGCATTGAAAAAAAATCTAAAGCTGGCTTGCCTGTGATTTGGAAGTTGAATCATAAAGCTTGGGTGGCAGCTTCCCTTTTTTGAGGACTTGTTTAGTCATCACTTCATACCTGAAGTCAAACGTTATTGCCAATCTAAACAAATTCCATTTAAAGTGATTCTAATAATCGACAACGCACCAGGTCATCTCCCTGCAACTTTAACTAATTTTGACCCACATGTGAAAGTTGTATTTTTGCCACCAAATACAACTGGCTTGTTTCAACCGATGGATCAGGGAGTCATCAAAACATTCAAAGCTCATTACATGAGAAATCATTTGCACATCTGCATGAAGCTATGAGACACAACAACGAGCTTGCTCTTAAAGACTTTTGGAAACATTTTCTTCTAAATTATTGTTTTCTTTAGTCTCTGGCCCCAAATAAAAATAATTTGTATGTATTTATATGCGAAATTATACCCTGACTTATGCGGTTATTGCTCGGTCCCACCTATCGCGTAAGTTCGGGATATTACTGTACAAACACGCACTTCTCTAAAGCTATATGTAACTAATTGATAAATTGTCTAAGGTATAATTATTTACTACACTAGTTAACCATTTTATCTTTGTAATTAACTGTATATCTAATATGTGAAAAATAGAAATTTAAATTTAGTTTCAAGTTTTGAAATATATTTTCTTTTATAAGATATCAATGAGATAAGCAAGAGGTAGATATTCATATAATTTTACTGTGTTAATTTCAAGTGTATTGAATTTAATTTGATAGAATATAGGGAAAACTCATTTTGATTGTAAAGATTTGAAATAAAATACTGAAAAAGTTGTACTCAAAATAGAGGAAAGGATAAATTAAATAAAAAAAAATTTCATATTTACATGATACAGGTATACCTTGCCTTACATCGGTAATTTGTTCCAGGA